TTGCCTATGACAACACATTCAATAATATAATTAATGATAATATCACACACCCGAATGCGATGATTTCATTAAGCCAGCTAACGTAGTTTAATAATATAATATAATTGTATTTTTTTTTGTTATTTTAATATTTTTCCCCTATCTTTTTGTAATCTTCATATAATATAAATCTGTTTATATTATATTTAATACTTCATTCGTCCCACCTTTTGCGTAGAAATGAAAATTTGAGTAAAATATAATTAATAAATAATTAAGAAATATATTAATAAAAATAATTTTTGTATAATAAAATTAATTATAGATTAAGATAACTAAATAATATAATTAGAATAAAAAAATCATAAATTATGAAATTCAAAATATAAATAAAGTGTATAATTATATTTTTTAAAAAAGAAATGACAAATAAAATAGAACGTACGAAAATAGAAATAGTAGACGAGAAATGTGAGACAAAGAGAGTAATACATATCTTTTGTTATTGTTATTTTTTGCACATATATGAATGTCAAATAGTTTGAAGCCGATGAAATCCTTGTCTCATTGACAGTGTTATGACTCACAATATTTTGAAAATTAAAATATACTTCCTCCGTTCCAGAACTATAGTCTTAATTGGGTTGGATACGTAATTTAAGGAATATTGATATTATATTGGTAGTTGGTAAAAATATAGACAAAAGATTTTTTTGCCATTGTGAGTGTATTAGTGTAAAAAGTAGCGGCTATTGTGTAATAAAAATGAAAAAATAGAAGTAGTTTTATGGTGATATGATTATTTATAGAATTAAGACTATTGTTTTGAGACAAACAAAAATGATAAACAAGACTACTGTATTGAGACGGAGGGAGTATATCTTATTTGATAAAAAGAAAAAATGACAATCCTTACTATAATTGGTGCAACAAAATTGATTGAAACTCAGGAAAAACCACTATGTTTTTTCCTAAAAGGATAAAAATGCTGATTGAAAATGCATTGTTCTCGAGCAAAGTTCGAAGATATATATTGAGCTTCAATGTTATCCAAACAAAATATCGAATGTGACATGAAATGAGTGTCTTTTGATTACTCATACTGTGAATGATAAAAATATTTTTAAGGAAAATTTTTTATTATTTCTTTCATTTTGTATTATTTAAAAGTAAATAGATTCAAAACGTATTCCCGTGTAAATTAAATGGCTACCGGACGAATTTATAAATTGACATGATCAACTTGAATATCGTAACAATGTAGTGTTTGAAGCAAATTATTGAATATTCAAATGACTATATATTGAAAAAAAAGCTTATTTCAATGAAAGTTAATAACCACACTATCTTCGATATAAGTTGAACCAAATCCATAGCTCTTTTTTTTTTTTTTTTTTTTTTTTTTCCGATAAATTAAGAATAATATATATGGACTTATAGATTTATTGTGTGTTTCAAGAATAACTTAAATCATTTATTATAATCCCTTGAAAAATTAATTTAATTATAATAAATATAGAAATATAAAGCCCAATGATTATTGATATTAGCCCAAATAAGGACCATTTCTTATTTTAAATATAACAAATATTGGAATATAAAGCCCAGTGATTATTAACATTAGCCCAAATAAGGACTATTGCTTCAAATGATTTTAAGAATTTTAAAATAATATTAAAAATACTAAAAAATAAATATTTGAGACACTCTATCTTATACTAACAGTTATTGTATTTGGATTATGGAATGGTAGAGTTTAGTATATTAACAGTAATGTAATATAATTCTCCCTCCGTCCCATACCGTAAATACAAGAATTTAGGTAAAATATGATTAGTAAATAATTAAGAAGTGTATTAGTAAAAATAATTATCATATAATAAAAATAATTATGGATTAAAATTAAAATAACTAAATAGTTTAATTAAGATTAAAAAAATTATAAAATTTTAAATTTAAAATGAAATTAAAGTGTATAATTATATTTCCAAAAAAGGAATGGACAAATTGGGACGGACGAAAATAAAAAATAGGGACAAACTATGTAGGACGGAGGGAGTATTGTTTTATTATTATTATTTTTGTATAATGATGTTGTTAGTAGCTTTAGAATATTTATTAAATTTATAATGAATAATAAATTTATTTTTATTTAAATTTAATATATTAAAATATTTAACTTAATAAATTTTACTTGTAAATTAAAGAAAAAATATTATTTTATAATGTTTAAAGATATAGGGGTATAAAGTTTGGGTTTCTTTGACCACCAAATATTTTACTGTACAAAAAATTAATTTTTATATTATCTATCTATTTTATCTAAAAAATATTTCAAACTAAAATATTAAATACAAATATAAATTAAATCTATTTAATTTAATCATAATTATTAATTACAAATAATATTAAACTATTTTAAAATAGTGAATAATTATAAATAAAAATTGTATAATTAAACAATTGTTTTGAAATAAAACTTAATATAAATGATTAAATAGAAACGCAACAACCTAAAATTTTAATTTCATGAAAGAATATTGAAAAACAACCAACGTAAAATAATAAAATATACATTTAAAAAAAAATTAGATAATTAGAACCCAAAATACATAATAATGAAGTACGATATAAATAATATTAATACATCTAAAGGTGAAACAAATATCAAAATAGACTTTGTGCTTTTTTTTTTATTATTATTGAAATATATTACTATCTCCGTCCCAGAACTATAGTATGGGTTGTGTTTGATACGAGATTTAAAAAATATTGATATTATATTGATAATAGGTAAAAAGTACGGAGTAAAAGACTTTTTTGTCCTTGTGAGTATATTAGTGTAAAAAGTAGTGGCAATTGTATAATAATAATAAAAAAGTATGAGTAGTTTTACAGTGATATGATTCTTTATGGAAATGAGACTATTGTTTTGAGACCGACAAAAATAGTAAACAGGACTATTGTATTGGGACGGAGGGAAGTATTTATTTATTTTTTTTTTATAAAATATTATATCAAAATACTATTTAAACTAATTTCGATACGATGATAATAATATACTAATTTGACATCTTCGACATTTTTTAGATAGTAAAAAAAAAAAGATTCAACGAAATAAATATAAATAAATAAATAAATTATCATTTATTTAATATATATATGAATTAATAAATCTAAAAACACATTTATTAATAAAATAATACTATATTGTCAATTTGTAGAACACTTCAATTGTGAGTAATTGAATGATTAAAGATGATTGTAGTATATTATGTCCATTTTTTTTGGTATGTATTAAAAATATATATCAATACCATAGCAAATTTCTTATATAAAAAATTCTATAAAGTAAATATCGATATCGTTTCAATAATTTGGTATATCAAATTGACGGTAACGGTACATATTTGTTTCATGCCAAAATACTAAATTTGATATCAACATACTGAATCATCAGTATATATTAATATATCGAATACTAATTAAATAGTGTATGGTAATTTCCATATACCAAAATACCTTATTTTATAAAAAATATTACTCACTATTACTATAACAAAAAAAAGTTAATGATCTTATCAACTAAATTTTTTTGTATTTTTCCGATACAATTTATAAGGTATTTTGACATTTAGATATGTTTCTACCGCTAGAAACATTCGAAAAGTTATTTTAGGATGATTAGAGATAAATGATATTTTTATTTTTATGTTTTTTATTGCTGTGTTAATTCTTTTCATTTTCCACATATAGAATATCATTGAAAGTAGAAAATAAAAAATAATTTATTTATCCATTCTCAATTTCAATCAAATAAGTAAAATAAATATATTTAATTTTTTCAGTCAATGAAACACCCATAATAGTGATAGAATTTTTAAAATAATAATAAAAAAAATTAAAATAAACTTTATTTCATTATAGTAGATCTGTCAAAACGGATTAATAGGACGGATTGGCCTACGATCTACCGTAACCCGCGGCGGGGCGGATCAAAATTTCTTCAACCCAATCCAACCCATCGGCAGGTGGCGAGTTAAGCGGGCTAGCCCAGGAATTTTTTTTTTAAAAAAATATATTATAAATATTTTCGTAATTAATATTTAAAAATAACTAAAAATAATTTTATTGTAGAATCTAAATAATAAATATTTTAAAATAAATAAAAAATATATATTTTTTTTTAATTCTAAATAGTACTAGTTACTGTGTTTAAAAAAAATTAATAATAAGAAATATTTTACAAATAAATCATATTTAATTTTATGAAAATGTAGATTTTAAAATAAAAAATTATAAAAAAATAAAATAGAAGACGAACAAAAAAAAATGATCAAAAATTGAAATAAATAAAAGTGACATTGATAACAGAGTTAGAAAAAAAAAACCAACGTGTAAACAATATTGATTAATTTATTTAAGCTAATTTTATTTGTCTTAATTAAAAATATATCTTTTTAGTAGATTAAAAATAATAATATATTATTTATTAAATAAAATGTACATGATGATTTTGATATGCTTTTCTCTGTGTACGTTATTTATAAATCAATTGTATTTATAATGGTATATCTGTAGTTTATATAAAATTAAAATATATTCTAATATTAATATTTGATTACTTTTATTATAATTTTTCTAATATGACAGTAAAAAATAATTAAAAAAAGATTTAATTGATACAGTGAGTACTAATTATTATATTTACTTAGCCCGCAGGCGAACCGCCCCACTGCAGGCTAATCTACTCTCAACCCGCGGTCCACGTGGGTTAACCCGTTTAAGCCTGTATTTTAACGGATTTATAAAATCACAACTCAACTCTCCTAAAAAGTGTGACTGGGTTGGCAGTCAGATGAACTCAATCCATTTTGACAGCGGTAAGATAGCTTAGATAATGCATAAATTAATTATTTTTTTTTAATTAATCAATTAATAATATGTAAAGATACTTTATGAAATAATAATAATAATAAGAAAAAGTATAAAGACATACACAAAGCGTTTTCAGTCTCTGAGCAGAGCTCAGTACTCAACAATGGCAGACTTTCCCAAGCCGCCGTTACTTCCTCTGATTTCCTTATTCCTTGTCGCCTTCTTCCATCCAGTACTCTCATCTCGGTTCATCCGCTCTCCGGGAGGAGCCGCCTCCCGCTTTCTCGGCAAGTTCGCCGCCGGCGGGGGTTCGGGAGCTACGCCTTACTCGTACGAGACTCGGTACTTCGAGCAGAATCTCGATCACTTCGGATTTTCGGAACTGCCTTCCTTCCGTCAACGCTACCTCATTAACACTGAGCATTGGGCGGGTCCCGAGCAGCTCGGTCCGATCTTTTTTTACTGCGGGAATGAAGGCGACATCGAATGGTTCGCTTCCAATACCGGCTTCCTGTGGGAGATCGCTCCTCGTTTTCGTGCCATGGTCGTCTTTCCCGAGGTAATCCTGTTTCTGTTATGTATCTTTATTTTGCAAATTCGGATTGTGTATGAATGAAATTTCGTACGGTTTCGTTGAATTGAAAATTTGTGCATCGCATATGTGTTTGTGGTAACATTACGCTTTCACTCCCATTGGAAGAGATTATTTCCATTTTAGTTTCTTATTGATTGCAAACAATACACTCAAGAAGCAGACATTGTAATGGCTGCTTGAGAGGTTATAAATAATTTCTTGTTACTGAGGAATTAGGGTAAAATTGGCAATGCTTTTGGTAAGATCAGAATGCTCTGTATTGACAGCATAGGTACTATGGAGAGTCGATGCCGTATGGCAGTAAGGAGGTGGCCTATAAGAATGTAACCACGCTAGCTCATTTAACAGCTGAGCAAGCCCTTGCTGATTTTGCTGTGTTGATCACTGACTTGAAGAGGAATTTGTCTGCCCAAGCTTGTCCTGTGGTGCTTTTTGGTGGATCATATGGTGGAAGTATGTGCAATTCCTTTTTTGTTTTTCGGCTTTAGACTATAATTTACAGTCATTTGTTTTTTTTCTGTAAGTTTATTGCCTACATGATGAGTCTTTGACATAGTGTTGGCTGCGTGGATGAGGCTGAAGTATCCCCACATTGCCATTGGGGCGCTCGCTTCTTCAGCGCCAGTGCTTCAATTTGAGGATGTTGTGCCTCCGGAGACATTTTACGATATTGTCTCTAATGGCTTCAGAGTATGCCTTTACTTTTGCTTGTTATATTGTTTTTAGATTCGAATAGGCTCTTCTTCTGGAGTACTGTTTGATTCTTTCCTCGGCAGCGTGAGAGTGTTAGCTGCTTTAATTCTATAAAAGAATCATGGGATGCAATAGAAACCGAGGCACATAAAAGTAACGGGCTTTCTTATTTGACTAAAGCTTTTGGTTTTTGCAGGTAAGGATGTATGAACTACATTTTCTAGTTCAAATCTTTTTCTTGAAATAAATTTATTAGTACCTGGTTAGGAGGTTTCTTCGTTGTAGCTATCTTTGTGGAATTTGTGAATGAAGTTGAATTGGCAGGAAACTAAAGAGTGTTGATGATCTTTATGACTGGCTGGAGTCGGCTTATAGTTATTTGGCAATGGCAAACTATCCATACCCATCCGACTTTCTAATGCCCTTGCCTGGAAATCCAATTAAGGAGGTTTGATTGTCTGTTTAGTTTGTTATTTGATATTCCTGCATTATGACACCATTTGGTATGGGCTCAAACAATATGTTTTTGTGCTTCTACCAAATATTTATGCTGACAAGTGCTTTTCAAGTTTTCATTTTTGCTTCTAATTGCTTATAAATGTTGTGTTGTGAAGCTCCAAGCTAAAGCCTAGAGAGTAATGTACGTCCAACCCCTTGGACACTGCTGGGGTTTTGCATTTAACGAAAATTCTAGCGAAAATATTTGGCATGGCTACCCCTAGATGTTGATCAATCCAATCGAATTGAGTCACCAAATTACTTTTATCTTTGTGTGTGTGTGTGTTTTCATCTTCATTTCGTTACAATAAAAATAGTTTCTACCAGAAGTAGTGCTTACAGTAGCTTCTTGGTTTTTATTTTTTAAAATTTTTTATTTTTTTTCTTCTTTAACTAATTTAATCTGTACTAGATTGATTGGTTTCAACTCATACAGCATGTTTTCTTGATTTTTTTTATAATTAAGGTTAGAAATTCGTTTGATCACATAAATTATTATTTATTCTGTTTCAAACATCTACAATTGATATTTTTCTATTAAGGCTTTATTTGCTAATATTTTAACTACTACATGGGACTCTTATTTTGAAATTTTGAGTTTTTCGGAGGTAAGAGTAGAATGTAGAAGCATTTTATGAAGCATTTTAAGTTTCCTCCAACCTTCCAAGTGATAATTTAACAATTTTGAGTGAACGATTTAAAGGGTTTTGAAAGATTTTTGAAATGGTGTTTTGGTTACATTGTTGTTTCCTTAACCATTACATAGCGAGCAATGGTTTCAATAATCAATATGCTGTCTAATTGCTCACCAATGCCTTTCTCTCGGTCAGGTATGTAGGAAGATTGATGACTTTCCCAATGGGACTGATGTCTTGAAGCGCATATTCGCTGGAGTTAGCGTTTATTACAATTACACTGGTAGAGTTGATTGCTTCGATGTGGATGATGACCCTCATGGTATGAGTGGGTGGAATTGGCAGGTGTGACTTTGGTAATGTTTTCTCACTTCATGTGCACATTCTTGTATAATTTAAAAGTAATTGTTTGCTTAAATTTACAGGCCTGCACCGAGATGGTAATGCCTATGTCCAGTAGCAGGAATGGTAGCATGTTTCCAACATACGACTATAACTACTCTTCCATGGTAGAGTGGTGTTTCAAGAGTTATCATGTCAAGCCCAGACCTAACTGGATAACTACTGAATTTGGTGGACATGTATGTGCATATATATATATATATATGTATATGTATATAATTATATGTGCTCTTCTAAGTGATTTTTCTTGTTAGCCAACATACCAGTGAAGGGGTAAAATGACCAATGTCGAACACGAGGATTATATTGTTACTTTTTTAAGTACTATAGGCTAGAGTGTCACACGAGGGACTTCAAAAGTGATTAACCCTTCTTTTTTTCTTTCAATTTTTCCAATAATAAAGGGATTCAAGAAAGTCCTGGGAAACTTTGGAAGCAATATCATTTTCTCGAATGGGCTATTGGACCCCTGGAGCGGTGGCAGGTAAGATTTTTGCTGTTTATCTGTGTATATAATAATAGTCATCGACTACTGATTCTTGACAAAACTGATGATATTGTTGCAGTGTTTTGGAGTCTGTATCCGAAACCATTGTAGCTCTTGTAACAGAAAAAGGTAACTGCACTAGAACCAGATTTCAATCTTTGCTGCACTAATTAAATATCATGATTTCGCTTTTATCGTTATTTCAATAAATATTATGCAATAAAATAAATCTTCTGCTGAAATAGGAATTTGAGAGTTGTCTTATTTCCATGCTTTCTATGCATGTAGAGTTCAATGGTGTATTTGAGTGTAATTATAAGTTTTACACGATGAACTTAGTAGTTTGGGTAGTTAGTAAGTGAGCTACTAACATTAAGGAGAGATTACGAGAGTTCAACACGTACGTCGTGTTGAAAGTTATATATATATATGTGTATGTAAATTCAAACTTTGAGGTCCCAAATCACATGGTAGTATTGATTGATTCTTGATTGCATTTACAGCAATAGTCAATGTGAAAATCCTGCAGCTGTAAGTGTGAACTTGTTGAGTAATTATTCAACTCCAAGAAAAGATTTAGTGAAAGTATGTGTCAGTATGGGGTGTTTTATGTGCAAATTACATTCATATTATTATCTTGGTTGGTTGGTAGGTGCCCATCACTTGGATTTGCGACCGGCAACTGCCGAGGATCCTGACTGGCTGCTGGAGCAGAGGGCCGTCGAAGTCAAGTTGATTCGCGGATGGTTGGATGAATACTTCGAGAAGACAACGAAGAAGAAGAAGATCATAAGAGTTTTTGATATGTAACAAATTTGAATTCAGACAGCCTTGTCTGTTTTGTTCCAAACTATCTTACGGGTGACGATGGTCTAAAGCTCTATCTAAAGCACTGATGCATGTTATAATATTAGAATAGTATTAATTATTGATGTTTTCAGTTATATTAGTAAAGGAAACAACAGAGACAGTATGGAGCATTGACGGATGATGAAGGGTAGTGTGTAATTAATGAGGAGAGAGAGTAATTAATTAGGTTGTACTGTACTGGCTGGACCGCTAGGAAATAACGGTTTATTTATTTAGTCACCAAACATCCAATTTTTACTATTGGAATGGTGTGTTTCGATTCACAAAATATCCTATCATATATTACTTTAATATTAAATTTAAATTAATTTTTTTTTTTAAATCTATCAAAAGTAATTAATAAATTAATAATCAATATAATTATCACGCGTATAATAATAATATTATTAATAAATTAATAATCAATATAATTAAACTGCATTGTAGCTAACGAAATATTTATTTATTTGTTTTATTATTTAATTCTATCAATTCTTAATAAACAAATGACACAGTTTTTAAAATAATACTTATATATAATGATTTTATCTTCAGGTCAGGTCAGCACTGCAGCACCGAAATAGCACACCGGCAATTTGCTTAATAAATATTCGGCCCGGCCCGGAAGCTGCTATCGGGGCTCCTGGTGCCCATACTCCTCCATGCATGCAGGTGTTTCTATGTTTGCTTTCATGGGGAACACTGCTCACGTGACACGCGCACCACCCCCTTCTGCCCATACCTCCTCTCTCTCTCTCTCAGACACACACACACGTACTGACATACATACATGCATGCATGTATATATATATATATACACACATACGGTACTATTTGACAACACATAATATTATTAGAGATAACACACTATATATGTTACTATAATACAAATACAACACATGAATAAAAAACACATGATATAGTCTCAACAACACATTGTGTGCTAACAGCATACAATATTACTACAGAGAAAATACAATATTACTACAAATAACACATTGTATATTCTAATATAATACAAATATATCATATGCTATAGGTATGGTCTCATACATCATACACAACAGTTATTTTAACACATGACATGTACACTTATTATTATTAAAAAACAAGATGTGTTGTATACAGTACTAGTATATGTTTGTTTGTATATATAACGCGTGTTAGATGCGAAAAATCAACACCGCAACCATCTCCTTTATATATTTATATAATTCTTTTTTTTTTTTTAAAGTATATTTTGAATAAAATAATAATAATAATTAAAAACTAGACAAGAAGTGAACAATTGGTCAAAGTTAAGAAAAGCATGTCTCCATGCAAACCCACATATTATATCTGCCTTTCTTGACTTGAATTAATTATATATAAACTTATAATAATAAAAATAATCCCAAAAAGCTGTAGCATATCAATTTACAAATACATTCCATCAAATAAAAATGTCAAATGAAATCATATATCTTTAATATATATGTTGGTTTCTTGATACATTCTCAAAGATCCTTTTGGATACTTTTGGTTTAAATAAACAACCAAACAAAACTTCTTGTCTATTATTTATTGTATATGTCTTGAAATCAATTTTGACTAATGAAAAAAAATAATCCAAACTTTATTGATTGTGGTGGAAATAAAATGCTTGGGAATATATATATATATATAAATATGTATGTATATATTAAATTAGTTTTTGATACTACAATTTATCTACAAATATTAAATTTAATAATTAAAAAAATCATTAAGTAAATAAATCCACAATATTTTTACTAATTTTTTGTGCAATTTTTGTATTTTACTAATTCATAGTCCTATTTATTTTATGGTAAAATTATTTTTTAGAAATTATATCAAATACATATTTTGAATTTATAGCACCCTATTAAACACTTTTTCTTATTTCTAATTATAAGAATAGTTTTGAAATGGGAATTTCTTTTATTTTTATTTTTTTAACTAAATCCTACATATCTATTGAAGTTGAAAACACCTTTAATTTCATCATGTTCCATTGTGATATGTATGATCTTTCAAATAATAAAATAGGTACACTCTAAATTATTCTACTCATATTATTGCTCAATTTTATGCCTAGAGTTTCATACAAGTTTATATACATAAAAATTAAAGGATAAACTATTTTTTTTAGTACCGTAACTGGACCCCCTTATCATTTTAGTCCCTTAAGTGGAGCATGTCGCAAACTAGTTTCATAAGTGAAAATTTTTCGCTATTTTAATCCTCCGATACCTGGCGGACACGTGGATTTTATTATTATTTTTTCTTTTTTTAAAATTTATTTTTAATTTTATTTGTAGTTTTTAATTTTTTTTATTTGGTCCAATTGAAAAAAAAATTAAAAAAATTGAAAACAATAAAAAAATAATAAAAAAAATCCGCGTGTCCGTCAGGTGTCGGTGACCTGGCGGGACACCGGGCAAGCACGTGGCTTCCGGCAAGCCATGCGGGCGTCTCCGGCGCCGGAGGACTAAAACAACAAAATTTTTTCACTTATGGGACTAGTTTGCGACAGGCTCCACTTACAAGACTAAAATGACAAGGGATTCCAGTTACGAGACTAAAAAAAATAGTTTACCCAAAATTAAAAGTTTAAAAACCCTATTTATAAATTAATTTACAAATTTTTTTGAGCACAAATTTGGACAACAAAGTGATTATAAAAAACCTCCAAATTAGTCTAATAATTGCTTATGGGCTTAGTATATATTAAAATTTTTGGTTCATATTATGTGTTCAATATAAGTTTTTGGTACCATATTATTTTATTTTATTTTGATTTTTAATATTTCATTTTTTCGATATATATTTGTAAAATGCTGAAGTAAACAAATCCAAATCTCCAACAATAATGATTTCTTTTTCAATAGTAATTTTGATAGCAATTAGTGATAAAAATGAATGAATCTAGTTTATATTAATAGTAATTACATATATTATATATTACATATGTTTTGTATCTCTTGTTAGTAATTACTTACACAAATTTGTGCAATTTATTTGGCCAGTACATATATATTTTTAGTATATCTTTGTGATACAATAAAATCAATTTATTTTTTATTTTTTATTTAATTAATTAATGGCATTAGAAGACAGAAGTTGTGCCCAACTTTTATTTTGTCAATTACCCAATATATAGTTTTAATTTAGGCTATCTAAATTAGTAATTTGATACGTCATTTTCTTTATCACTTGCATACTATATTAATTAATTTCAATTAAATTTATCTTTTTAAATAAATAAAGGGTAAAAAAAAAAAAAAAAAGCACTATTAGTCTATGGTGTATATATATGTATCAAATTTAGATGATTTATTTTTTAATTATCAATTATGTTAAAATTTTAACGTAAATATAATTTTGATTCTTTAATTATAAAAAATTTAATCGATAATTTATCAAGAGTGCAAAAGTAAAAGTCGTGACTCGTGATTAACGTAATACTTTAACAATGATCTTATTTTATTAACATTTTATCGAAATTAGTAAATAAGAATTAAAATTGAACTAATTTGATGAACTAGGAGTTGAATCAATTTTAAAATAGAAATACTGAATAAACCAAAAATATATTTTACTCAAAATAAATATAGGGGCAATATGAAATTTCTAATTTTGTTGGGGCAAGGTCCAATATAATTAATTAATGATCCCAATATGCAACTAATTGGCTAAAAATAATCATTAATCGTAATTATTAAAATTTTGCCATCCAAGTGAAAATTCCCCACGACAAGATCCCAACATCAGCTCCCACAGCCCGCCACGTGGCATCAGATTAGCCAATGGTTAGTACGCTTAATATTCTGCTAATATGAATCCAAATATTTGTGTCCTAACAAAATTATTTCTTGGCCACACAAAAAGAGGAAATTACTTATAGGCAACTTACCCTTCTCTGGACTTGCACTTATCAAGAGGTCCCGGGACCTGAAATCCCGATCAAACCACGCCGTCGATTTACAGAGATCGACGGCGCAGAGCAGAATACGCGGGTTTCCAAAAATGGATATAATTGAAAATATGGGTGTATATAAATGGCAAAAATGGAAAAAGGGTAAAGTCGTGCTTTGACTTAGAAGAAGGCGCTGAGAAGTGCTTATACGCTTTAAACAACGTAACGTTTTGTCCAGCGTAGGACAATTTTCGTGATAAAAAGTCGGTGTGACAAAATTAATTTTGTTTATTTAATGTCTCGTCGGCAGCTAAATATAAATAGAATATCATATATATATATATATATATATGTGTGTGTGATTTGGTCCTTTTGTCCTGAATAATAAAAATTTAATTATAGTATCTAACTAATTATTTAAAAAAAATAATCAGCTTAAAAAGTTTATATTTTTTATTATATATATATATTTTAGTTTGTTCGATTATACCGTATATTATAAACATTCAATTTTACATACATTTACATCAATATTGTTATACTCTCTCTGTTTTACTTAATTTGTCAACTCTTTCTATTTTCATTCTTCCATCTTTCATAATTTATAATTTTTTATTTTAATTAAATTATTTAGTCATCTTAATCTTATTTTTATTAAATAAGTAATTATTTTTACTAATACATCTGTTAATTCCTTATTAACTACACAATAACATATGTGTATAAGCTAAATGAGACAAATTAACTGGAACAAAGAGAATTTCATATTAAAACACAAGCTCTGAAAAGTTTTTATATCCAAAAATATAACCATTGTCATTTAAATACTGTAATCTCTAAATTCTACATCAAAAATAAATTTAAGACTTTTAGTGTAATGATATAATATAGTTTGTTCATCCCAATTTAATCTATCAATTTTATATTTTTGTTTATCTCAATTTTTTTTTTAATTATAGAAAAAAGTATTTATATATAAAAAAAAAGATACCCTAACTTTTATAAAAAAAAAAAATATATTTGTTATTTTCAAGAAAAAAAAAATGTCAAAATTATCTTAAATACTTTATTTAATTAATAAAATATTATTCCTTAATCTACTATAAGAAAAAACATATATATATTTTCCACTAGGGCGACAGAAAAGTATAATATAATAAAAAAAACAAGTAAACACAGCTCAAGCTCTTATTCGTTTTGGATTTATTTTCGTATTCAATTCTAATATTTTTGAAAGTTGATTTTAATTTTATAAAAATATATATTATTTTATTTTATAAAATATTACTTTTAAGTTACTATTGAAACAAAAAAAAAAAAAAAAAAATTCAAAAGAACACACCATTTGTGTAGTGATTGTAATTAATGTTATACATAAAAACAAATATAAATATATTTTTATCAACAATTACAAAGTTTACTTTAAAGAAATTTGAAAATAATAATAATAATAATAAAAGAAAAGTTAAAGTGAATAGAGCCGTATTGTTTCATTCTATTTATATTTATTTTTTCAAAAGTTTTTTTTTAAAAAAATAAAATAAAATAAAGAAAACAAAAAAGTGGGAATCATTTACATAAATTCCATTAAACGACGTAATTAAGGTCCATATATATATATATATAAGAAGTTATAAATTTTGTAATTCGAACTTGTTATTATAACCGTAAGAAACTAACTGATACGTACGAATTCATATATCAAATCACTACTAAAAATAAAATTGTCAAAGTATAACTGTTATGCACGTATTTAATTTTTGCATTAATATACTTTATCCTATATATAAATGGCACTTGTCTTGTAAAAATACTTAGGCAAATAAATAAATAAATATTGGGATTCAAAATCTTATAATAAAAAAGAGTGATTAAAAATAGAAGCTTTACATAGCCAGGAAGCGCGAATCACACTTTCACGTCGTCCAGAGTGCACTCTCTCTATGTAATAAAACAACATATGAGAAATACACTAAAACAAAAAGAAATTAAAAATTTATTCTAATTATATATATATATATATATGTAAATTTTAATAATTAATTAATTAATTAATTAAAATAAATGGGTAAATTAATTATGCTTCTATCGTTCCCGTTCGCGATCGTTGAACGATAACCGAAAAACCCATTTGGTGGTAAGAGATTCGGATCTTCTAGAAGGTTTCTGCCGGAAAAAGCCGTTATGATGGAGGGAGGTACGGACGAACGATTTGAGCCGTTGGATTGCAAGATGGAGGGTTTGCTCGGACAGGTTGGCGAAGCAGACTCTGAACCAGCCCGGTTCAGCGCAATGGCACGACGAACCGGGCGAGATGTTCAATCCGACGTCGTATACGATCTTCTTCCACAGCTCCATCTCCGCCTCGAACGTTTCCGCGCCGAGGAGGTGCCTCATGTCCACCCAGCAGAAGAGCCCGGCGTTGCTGTCCAGGCACGGGATCCCGGCCTTAGCGAGGTCCCGGACCAGCATTGCCTGGCGGTCCCTCAGCCGGGCCCGGTTTTTCGCGAGGTACCGCCGGGCGAACTTCCGGTCGGAGAGCATGGGGGAGAGGAGATACTGTGTCTGCGACGAGACAAGTCCGAAGCTCGACATTTTTGTGGCGGCGGCCACCACCGCGCCGTCGTTGGAGTATATAGCGCCGACGCGGAAGCCGGGGAGGCCTAAGTCCTTTGACAGGCTGTAGACGACGTGGACCCGGTTCAGGAGGGCGGCGCTGGTGCGGTGGTCCCGGTCCTTGAGGACCTCCATGACGCTGATGAATTCTTGGGAGTCGAAAACCGTGCCGGAGTAGATCTCGTCGCTGATTAGATGGACGCACTTGGCGTCGGCGAAGCCGACGAGGAGGTCCAGCTCGGCGCGGCTCAGGGTTGTGCCCAGCGGGTTCGATGGGTTCGTCACTAACACTCCTTTCACCCGGAGGTTGCGGTCCCTAGCCGCTTGGTAAGCCTCTTCCAGAGCCGGCTCCGTGAGCCTGAAGCCGTTTGCGCTGGTGCACTGGATCGGTACTATTTCGGCGCCGGTTCGCCACTTGAGGTCTCTATCGAATCTGCATTCGTTGCCGCCGTGAATAATTAAATTAATTTTCCAAAATCATTAATTAATAATAATAATAATAATAATAATAATACTATTTGTAGATACGTACCCAGGGTAGTATGGGGTGGGGAGGAGGAAAGCGTCGCCGGGGTCAGCGAGGCAAAAAATGAGGGTTTCGTTGGCGGAGGTGGCGCCGGCGGTGAGGACGAGGTTGTCGGGTTCGAAGCTGACTTTGTTACCTCGGATTTCCGACATGAAGTCAACCATTGCCTGAACATGTTTTAAAAACAACATTATTAGTAAGTAAATATTTTTATTTAATTTGCATTTATGTATGTATGTATGTGGGTTACATTTTTGAAAGCAGGGAGACCATGGTAGTCCTGGAAGAGGGCAAGCTCTCTGAAAATGGATTCTCCATCGTCTGTCTTAAATCCAGCCGCCTCAGGATTTTCTCTGAGCCACGCTTCCAGCAGATCGAACGACAGCTGAACATGTATACAATAGTTAAGACCGACTGTACTTACACACAGACCCGTACGTGTGTGTGTGGATAGAGACAGACAGACAGACAGACCTGATTCTCTGCAAGACCCATCTGAATTATACCACTGGGATTGGAGACCTCATCGTACGGATTCTTCTCGTACTCCTCCCACCCGAGGAAGTATGACGAATCCTGCCCGTGCGAGTTGCAGGCTGCTTTCTTCGACAGCATCATCTTCTTAATGCTTTCCAAGAAAATAAAATTAAATGTAGAGAGAGAAAGAGGATAATTGAGAGTTGAATTAGTAGCAGTAGAAGTGAAAGTGGAAGTGGGAGCTGTAGTGGAGAGTAAGGGCAGAGGGATTGGATTTATATAGCAGAGTCAGCGAGTGATACAGAGAGAGAGAGAGAGTGAGTCAGCAAAGCAAAGCAAACAGACGCACATGTGCCGCCTCTCTCTCTTTCAATTTCTGTTTCAATTAATTAATTATATTGGGCAAACCCGCTTTTACAATCACGCTTTTACACTCCGCACGCGCTTTTAACCCCACCACCACCACCACCTAACACAATACCCTCCTCATTTAATTACGCCGCGTTGGCAACTGAGATTACATTTATTTATTAATTTATTAATTACTGATTCCATTTTTCTGTTTGTACATTTACAAAAATAAATATACACAATTATCCTCTAATACACACGAACGATATATTTATAATAATAATAATAATAATAATAATAATAATTTGGGAATGAAGCGGTACCGACTACCGACATAGGAAATCGCGGGGTAGAGACATAAGGGGAAAAGTGGAACAAAGCCCATGAAATACTGGACTTTGGTCCATTTCTCCGCCGGCCTCATGGGCCCATCTTGTCGACTACTATATATATATATATATATATTTTTTTTTTATTTTACTTTTTCGGTCCTAAAAAAAACAATAATAAACTCATTTATTATGTTGCACGGATTTTAATTGTGTGTATATATATATATATATATATTTTATCTTTTTATAATAAAAAACGAAAAACCAGTAGATTTTTATTATAAAATGAAATTTTTTTTTTTTATTTATCTTTTTTTATGACAAAAAGAATGGACTCATTTTTCAATTAGAAAGGGGAGGCAATTAGAGTGCTGATTTCATCGAATAAACACGCTAATCTTAAGGTGATTAATATTCAACCATAAGGCAAACAACATAACTAGAGTGTCCATCCGTGTTTACCAATCGTATTCGTGTCGAATTGAATCATAGATGTAACAAAAAATTGTCAATCCAAATCCAATTCGAACCCGAATTTTGATTTGAAATTCTAAACCTGAACATAGCACTAATTTTTTTTGGTCGAGTTCATGTTTATCTGATTTAATTTCAAGTTATCCAAAATCGAAACAAACCCGAAAATTAAAAAAAAAAAAGTTTACCTAAAAAAATCCATTGTTAATTTAATTTTTTTATATTATTTTATCTTTAATATAATATAAATATTATAAATTAAAATAATAAAAAAATAATAATTTCAGGTCAATCCAAAACTCGAAAAAACCCGACATAAAACAAACCCGAAAATTAAAAAAAAATTACCTAAAAGATCCATTGTTAATTTAATTTTTTATATTATTTTATCTTTAATATAATATAAATATTATAAATGAAAATAATAATAAAAAAATAATTTCAGGTCAACCGGAAACTCGAACAAACCCGACACAAAACAAATCCAAAATTTTTTAAAAAAATTAAATTTACCTAAAAAAATCTATTTTTAATTTAATTTTTTATATTATTTTATTATTGTATAATATAGATATTATAAATTAAAATAATAATAATAAATAATTTCAAGTCAACCCAAAATTCGAAACCCGTCAACCCGAACACGATACAAATTTTTTTCGTTTCGGATCGATCTGATTTTTTTACAAACCTGAACATAAAAAATTTCAAATTGAACGGATTCGATTTTCAGGTCAGATTTAATTTTGACACCCTTAAATATAACAATGTTTTATATAAAAACATGTGATATATTGTTTATATATTGTACTTTATATAGACTTACTGTGCTGAAAATTAATACTACATTCGTCCCAAACACTGCAACATTTCTTTTTTGGCATGTCCTAAAAACACTGTAATATTTTCAAAATAGGAAATAATTAATTATATTTAATTTCTACCTCCGACTTTATTCTCTCACATCATCTAAATAAAAAATAAAGTATATATTTCTCTCTCCATCACATCACCCACTTTCTAAATTATCCTACTTAATACTACCCATCTAAAAATTCATGCCAAAAATAAATATTGCACCTTGTTTAGGACGGAGGGAGTAGCATATTATGTTATATATATATATATATATTATTATTAGATATTTACTGATTAGTGATTTGTTTTAATTAACAAAGAAACTTATAAATTTTATTTTACTTTTAAAATATTTATTCAACTAATTAAATTTATGTTTGACTTTTTTTTTTTTTAAAAAAAAGTATATTCATAAAAATTATATATATTTGGATAAATTTTTTTTTAGTATTGTATCTTACCACTTTTATTATTTTAAGACTTTAGGGGGCTGTTTGGTTCATGGATTTTTTTGGTGGGATTGAGATTTTACAGTAGGATTTATATGTGATGAGATTTATTATATTTAGGATTTGAAATCTCATATTATGTTTGGTTGGTAAAATATGGTAGGATTTATATTTCGTGGATTTGGATTTTTTATATCTAATGACATAATTGTCCTCTTTATTTATTTTGACAAAGTAAACCTCTAATTCATTATTAATATAAATTGAAAATATATCAATAATTTTATAGGACGACAATAGATTCGCGTAAACTCGAGACCCTACCGAGTCCGACCTATTTATTTGAAGTTGAGTCCAATTATTTGAGTATTAGATCTGGATCCGGGTTATGATTAGGGTAAGATAATAATAATATATCAACCATACATATGAAAAAATAATTTCGAATAATATAATTATATTAAAATATTTTTTTTTGAGTTTAACGTATTCATTATTTTATTATAGTATTTCTCTAATAAAATACATAAATTTTAATATACATTGGATCTGGTACATGTGTAATTTTAAATTAAAATTTAAAAATTATAAAAAATGGATTTTTCGGATTCATCAAGTCTTATCGGGTATAGTCTCGGTCGAATCTAGTATAATCGGATCCAATTTGAATCTCAGATTTAACAATATATATTTGGAATGAATATCAGTTTCAACGAAACCCGACTTATGGTCGTCCCTATAATTTTATAATTCTAATAAAATTTATAATAAATAATAATTTAAACAATGAATTTATTAATTTATTTAAAAAATACTGTACAATAAAAAATAATATAAATTTAATTAAATATATAATTCAAATAATAATTAATTTTTAAAATTATTTAATTTTTTATATAAATATAATACTATTATTTTTTTTATAAGATGATATAAATGTAAAAATAAAAATTTCAAGAATGAGATTTAAAAATAGCAAGGTATCTCCATTACAAAAAAATTCCTTATTTGTAGGATTTTAGACCATTTTTTCAAATCCCATCATTTTAAATTCCACTTTTTTTTTTTTTAACCAAACATGAATTTCATGGGATTTTAAAATCCAAATCCTATGGAATCCCATTAAATCCTTGAACCAAACAGCCCCTAGGTGAACCATGTTTGAAAATAGTCTCGTAATTAAAATTTATTTGCTAAAATGATCCTCCGGTGCCGAACTCCCCATGCTGGCCCGCCGTTGCTGACTTGGCTAACATGTCATCGCTACGTAGATGCCACGTCAGCAACACGTGAAATTTTTTTATTATTATTTATTTTACAAATGTCTTGGTAAACTATTTCTTTAAGTTCCTTATATGACCCCATTTATCATTTTTAGGACATTTAAATAGACTTTGTCTGAAAATAGTTCTGCAAATAAATTTTTTCCGCTAAAATGGTCCTCCGCATGGCAATGACATGTCATCCGCGTCAGCAACGGCTGACCAGCATGGTCAGTACAGCACCGAAAGACCATTTTAACAAAAAGTTTTTACTTATTAGACTATTTTTTAAAAAAAATCTACATAAAATCCTAAAATAATAAAATAAGTCAAATACAAGACTAAATAAATAGTTTGCCAAATATATCTTTTTTCAACTTGAACAATACTCATAATTTAAATACATAATAATCATTTTTTTATTATTATTAGTATTATTATATCATTATGTGAATGGTCACAGTGTTGAGGCCTTCTTTGCCCTCCACCTAAGCTGCGCAAGAAAGACCGATTTGAAAAATTCAACAATCAACCTTCATAATATGTATAAATAACACATATTTTTATTACACACAATATATATTGTAAGTAATATGTGTTCTTTGTTCATATTTACATGTGTGCTATATAAAATTATCATGTACTAAAATCAACTATTATATATTGTAAATGACTGTAGCATATATTGTTAGTTCATGTGTTGTATCGTATCACATTAACATATATAATATATTGCTTGTAATAATATTATGTGGTGCCCGACAAGCACATGATATACTTAGGGTGTTGTTTACTTGTGAGTTTTTGGTTTTGAGTTTTGATTTTCAATAGTAAAATTTTGAATTGAAATAGTGGTTTGATGTGATATTTTCAATGTAAAATTAGATTTTTAATGTAATAAAATAAATAAAAATTAGATGTTTGATTTGATATTTTTATTTTTTTGGAGGGAAAATAAAGTTACAATAGTAAAATCAGGCAAACAGAACCTTAATTTTTTCAAAATATCCAATTATAAATTATATTATTCAATAAATACATTTTTTTTTTCTTAATCTCTAATATTCATCCATACATTATATTTTCAAAGTGAGTTGTAATAATCAAAGCAGCTGCGAATTCTCGCGCTATAAAAAAAAAAAATTAAAAAAAAAAATTAGAAAGTTGAGTTGTAATACTACTTTCCAAATAAATAAATAAGAATGTTTTGATGATGGCTCCTAACTACCTTTTCACTTGAAGTCAACCTCGGCATTAGTGTGTGGATGAGCCTAAATGCCTAATAATATTATATCATTGCTAATATATATATATATATATATATTAAATATTTGGGATTTGTTTTAGATAGAAGTTTTTGGAGCTTTTTTAAAATTTGGAAGTTTGAAAAAAAATATTAGTATTTAATTTGATATTTTGTGAGAGAAAAAATATATTTGATGTGATATTTTTTGAAAAAATAAATAGTACAAAATGAGTAAAAGTGTGCTGTGTAAAC